TAAGCATATCTCCCTGACAACAGGAGAGAGAGAGAGCTGAGCACTCAACAAACCTGTGAGGATTGTGTGTGTGTGTGTGTGTGTGTGTGTGTGTGTGTGTGTGTGTGTGTGTGTGTGTGTGTGCATGTGCGCGTGTGTGTGTGTGTGTGTGGGAAGTATTCCTTTACTTAAGTAAAAGTGCAAATACTATGGTCTCAAAATACTTCACTGCTATTAAAAGTCTTGATTACAAAATGTTTCAAAAGTAAAAGTACTCATTCTGCACACAAATGAGTTTCAGAATAATATTTAGTACAGAAGTATAATAATCTAAAATGTCCATCAAGAGTGAAAGTACTTTCTATGCACAATCACTCTTTTCACAGTATTATATTATTATGGTTATTATATTGTGCTTTTTTTTATACATGCAACAGCATTTCAGCATTGTAGTTGGTCAATGTGAACCAAATGATACAGTACAGTGCTGCATTATACCACATCAGCATATATGTACAAAGTAACTAGTAACAGAGTTATATAAATGTAGTGGAGTGAAAAGTACAACATTTGACAGACCATAAATTGGAAATACTCAAATAAAGTATAAATGTGTCAAAGGACAATACTTGAGCAAATGTACTTCCCACCACTGGTGGGAGGAGGAAGACGGGAGGCTGCTTAGGCTGTTAAAGTTCTATTTACGGTTGCAGAGCTGATCACATTGTATCCATGTCCTGGTTTAAAGCCTGTAGCATTAGCTTGGAATCCATCACGGTTTTTTATCTGTCATCCTTCCATAAACTGTTAATGGCTCCCACAGATACAGAGGGAATGTGTCAATTTCAGGTGTGTTTGGGTGAGAAAGCCCTACTTGTTACAGTGGTGTTTCAGATGTCTCTTGTAGCTGTCCTCCTGCAGGATGTGGTCAGGGTTGCAGCTGGCCAGCCAATCAGCTCTTGGCGTCTGCGGAGTCGGAGCCGCAGGCTTCCCCTTCTTGCCCTTCCTGCCCCGAGGGACTGGAGTAGAGAGACCTGCAGGGAGAGGGACAGAGAGAAGGGTAAGACACGGGTCGGGGGCTTCTGCAGACGACAGCCTGTAATCCTTCAAACATTTCCAGAACCTGCTCCACAGCACAGCCTGCAGAAAGCGTGTTTCAGTTATATAGATGAGGCAGCAATGGCTGAGATAAGACCTCAGCCATGAACCTTATTAGCGCAATTGAATACAAAAGTTTTCCAGAATCTAGATATTTTGGTGCTTTTCCACCAGAAAAGGTTTCCTCTAAGAACAAATATTGATTTGGAATCCTCAGTTCTGCTAGCAAGAAATCCATGACTAGAATGTGGTTACCAGTGGATTGAGATGGTTTGATACTTTTAGGATTGAGAGGATTTGCTTGGCTTTGAGATAGCAACTGGTAATCTTTTTTAAAAGATGGGAAGTACGACCATCATTAGTCTAAACTGGATTTGTATGTCTTACTGTTATTATAATTTGTTCAATGCCCCACTTGTTGAGTGTCATTGAGGTTCACTCCCATAACTTTGTTCTTATTTTGTAGCATGTTTAAGGGTCTGTGAGTCCTGTGTGTCCTCCACAACATCTGTAATACATTGATGTGTGCTTTCATTGTTGTTTACAGAATGCTAAAAGAGAATATTGTGTTGATTGTATAAATTGTATATATATATACACACTGAACAAAAATATAAATGCAACACTTTTGTTTTTGCTCCCATTTTTCATGAGATGAACTCAAAGATCTGAAACATTTTCTATATACACAAAATAACCATTTCTCTCAAATATTGTTCACAAATCTGAAAAAATCTGTGATATCTCTCTCCTTTGCCGAGATAATCCATCCCACCTCACAGGTGTGGCATATCAAGATGCTGATTAGACCGCATGATTATTGCACAGGTGTGCCTTAGGCTGGCCACAATAAAAGGCTACTCTGAAACGTGCAGTTTTGCTTTATTGGGGGGTTTGGGGGGTCAGAAAACCCTAGGGTTACCAGGGTTAAACCCTAACCCTAACATGTCACCCATTGAGCATGTTTGGGATGCTCTGGATCGGCGTATACGACAGCGTGTTCCAGTTCCTGCCAATATCCAGCAACTTCGCACAGCCATTGAAGAGGAGTGGACCAACATTCCACAGTCCACAATCAACAACCTGATCAACTCTATGCGAAGGAGATGTGTTGCACTGCGTGAGGCAAATGGTGCTCACACCAGATACTGACTTGTTTTCGGACCCCCCCAGAACCCCCCATAAAGCAAAACTGCACGTTTCAGAGTGGCCTTTTATTGTGGCCAGCCTAAGGCACACCTGTGCAATAATCATGCTGTCTAATCAGCATATTGATATGCCACACCTGTGAGGTGGGATGGATTATCTCAGCAAAGGAGAAGTGCTCACTATCACAGATTTTTTCAGATTTGTGAACAATATTTGAGAGAAATGGTTATTTTTTGTATATAGAAAATGATTTAGATCTTTGAGTTCATCTCATGAAAAATGGGAGCCAAAACAAAAGTGTTGCATTTATATTTTTGTTCAGTGTATAAAAAGAGAATTAAAAAACAACAACCCTTTTTTAATTCTTGAAATAAGACAAAAGTATCAAAGTATGGTTGTATTATAACAAAACTCAGACAAAGAGAAGTCCAAAGAGGCATGATTGAAAGTGAGAGATAAGAGGGATGAGAACAGGACTCAAACTGTGACCAATCCAAGTGCCTTTACACTCTGCTATTACTTTCATTACCACCAAACTATACTTCCTGTTTTCTCTCCCATCCATCAGCCGAGACAGGAGGAACTCTGATATGCAATAAAAAAATGATAGGTAAACTATCAATTTATAATTTGAATTACATTAATAATGAAATAACAATAAAAAAATCTAATATATTGTCACTCTGCCATGTATTATGTTGGTCAGTCCTACATAGTGGGGATTGTATGGTCTCATGCAGTGTATATAGTGTGTGTTACCAGAGTGGTTGGTCAGCAGCTTGGTGGTCCCATCCTCACTGGGGTTGATCAGGTCCCAGATGAAGCTCTTGATGTTCTCGTCTCCACGGTAATGCAGCAGGCAGTAGGCCAGCAGCGCTCTGCAGATCTTCTCCACATCCGACTCCTTCAGGGGCCGTTTGAAGCGACCGTGAGTCAGGATGTCATTCCACCTACCCCACCTGCAAAGAGATATGGAGAACAAAAACCTGTTAGTGGATATACCGTGTTTGTTCAACATTTGTTTATCAGATCATAGTATTCATTCAAATACAGTAAAACATGTAAAATACGGGAAAAAGATCGCATTTCCTGTCAAACCAATGATCCACGTTTTTGATTAATCTAATTAACATATTGCACATGATATAAAGACCATACTAAACAACCAATAATAATTATATAATGTGCATTCATCTGTGAAGCAAAGCAAATAAATGATAATGTATTTATTTACAAAGAAATCGATTGTAAACTGAATTGTAATTGTTCTGATTTTAATTTCAAAAAAGGTAGCGGCAGCAATTAGTGCATTATCAGTTTTCAACCTATTTTATTAATTGAGTGATTTTTAATGCAAGTAATATATATGTAGATTTCTGGATTTGTTTCTATTATAGTTATAGAGTTGAATATCTTTGGGATTTGGATTGACAAAATGTTAAGACATCCCCTGTGTCTTTAACAAATTAGTATGGACATTATACCATTTCCTGACATTTTATTGACCAAACAATTAATTTGGAAAATAATCTGTAGTTGCAGCCCGACAAAAAGGGCATACATGTACCAGAGTTTTGATCTAACAGTGACTGTCAGCCCAACCATGTGACGCAGTGTTACTCTGAGTGATGATTTTAGACAAGGTAAAATGGTGGATGAGGGTGAGAGAGAGATGGATGATGGGAAAAGACAACAGCGCGTTGAGCGAGAGGAAAGGCTCAGTCAGACAGTGTGTTTTTGTGTCCTCCAGCCTCGGGCCACAAGACTAGACTGCAACAATAACAACGCTGACACACACACAATTATCCCTGTATGTGGTAAGTGTGTCAGTTGGCCTGTGTGTGTGCAGTATAATGCATCCATGTCCTGAAAGGCTGCTATGGTGTAGTAAAACACGCTCTTATGCACAGGTTAATAAACATTCCTCTTTATGTCTTTAATGCAATTATATGAATCATCCACATGCATTTCCTACAGAAAACTTTAAAGCGTTTTAACCCGTGCTGGGGTTGAATCTGAACGTTTAACTACTTTCATCAATCATAAAATTGTGTTTTTTAGGCCTTATGATATCCTCCACAGTATCAGATACACACCCACAAAACTAAATGTTTTTGGAAAACATTTTAAGTGTCTTTTTTTCATGTAAACCAGTGGTCTGAGACATTGTTCACAGCCTACAAAGTTGTTAAATAACATGTGGTGATTATTAATGGTTTTTATGTAAGAGCAGTTAAAACAGACAGGTCAAATTTGATCGGGACCACCACAACACAGTAAGGGGGGAGAAATGGACATGTCAGCCGGGTTAAATGATTTAGAGACATGGTAAAAGCAGGTGTCTTTAGATTAGATAAGTGCATCAGTGTGGTGTGGTGACTGACCCGTAGACCAGCAGGTTCTTCTCCACTCGGAAGCACTCAGATCGGGGGTACCCCTGGGCTTTGTCTTGGGGCCGTCGCGGTTTGGACGAGGGTCGGCTCGGTTCGTCGTCTTCACTCTCCAGCTCCGAGAACTCGAGCATTTCATCCTCTTTGGCGCTGCTGAAGTGCCGGGTCTGCTTCCTCACCCTCGGTGTGTCGATCACCAGCGTGTTCTGGAAACAAATTAGGTGAGCACATTTAGTTTGTGTTTTTTGAAAGCCAAGATGCATTTTCCTTCTGGAATCTTTTTTATTTTGTATTCGATTAATCAGGTTTAAATTACAGATGGCCTGAAATCTGTCATCAACAATATGCAAAGCACCTTCTGCTTCCTTCCTGTGAAGTGGCCTATTTGTACATATCATGTACATTCAGACTTCTATGACAAGTGTGAACCCCGTGGCATCTTCTGTACAGAATCTGAATAATTGGATGTTTGGCCCCGTGTTTCATTCCTGATGCTGAGAACATTTCTGCCTGGCTCAAACCAACTGCCATTAATTATGTTGTCTAATGAATTACATTTTTGTTTAATTAATTAGATTTTTTCCCACTCGCAATCCCATTAATATGTGCAAACAGGGCGGTAGTTAGCTCCACAATAATCACAGAGCGCTGCAGTCATTTCCATTTTAACATCACACAATGAAATCCCAGGGGAGCAGCCCTTGTTCGCTGGCAGATTTGGATTAAGTGTTCCGCTGGAGAGCCCTCCAAAGGAGGAACACAGAACAAGGAGGACAAACACAGATACAAAAAATGAACAAATATAGAGCGGGAAAATAAAGATGCCTGTTAGCAGAGCACTCAATGGGTGTGTAAGAATGCGAGCAAGCTTTTGTAACTGTGTGTGTGTGTGTGTGTGTGTGTGTGTGTGTGTGTGTGTGTGTGTGTGTGTGTGTAGTCTAAGTGATATCTCTGTACCCTCCAGGCATCTGCGCTCTGTTAAGTGGAGCTAAGCAGCTTACTCTCTCGCTCAAACACACACACGAGAGCAGGGAAAAATGGGTAATCAAGGAAGAGAGGAGATTCCCAACTGTCAATATTAATCTCTCTTACCTCCTGCTAGCTTGTGGTGATACCGACTGCTTACCACTGCATGTTCCCTTTTCTATGAGGGGACACCCTTACTTTAAATCAAGTATTAGGAAGCATTTCTTTACGTTGTTGGATTTAACATTTAGTGTGTGTGTGAGAGTGTGTGTGTGTGTTTTTGTAGTACCCGTCCATTCATGGCGTCCATGTCCAGCTCAGCCTTCTTGGCCCATTTTTGCCAGAAGTCTGGGTCCTCCAGAGAAATGTCTGTTCGGTTACCAGCTGCAACAAAACTGGCCTGCAGACGAAAGAGGTCAGTAATTAACTTCACATCCGTGATTTTAAGTAACCAAGTAGATTTAATCAAGTACTGTACTTAAGTACAATTCTTAGATAGTTGTACTTTACTGTAGTTTTTCATTTTTCTACCCCACTACAATTCAGAGGTATAAAGTACCAGATTTGAGTACGTCTTCCACTGATAATATAATGTCTGAGTATGGAAGCAGAGTTCACTGCAGTAGTCGTTGGATCATGCTCAGGTTTTACCTTAGCAAAGGTAGAGCCCTTGCCCTCAGACTCGATGGTGATGGTGTGTGTTCGTCTCTGGAGGATCTGGTCGATGTCTTCCTCACAGAACTTTGATCCCTCGTCTTCCTCGTCCATCAAAGCTCCGTACGCTCCCTTCCTCAGCAGGTCCTCAACCTCCTTCTTGGACAACTGCTGTACTCCGACAACAAAGAATTCCATGACAAAGTTTAGTGTTGTCAGAGCACACAAACATGGGACGGAAAATATTGGAACTAAACTATCAATTTAACTTATTTGGCGTCAGTAGGTTTCATACAAAGGATGAACGAGTGGTCTGACAATGTGGTGTGAAGGTTGCGTCTTTCGTTTTTCCAGCCCAGAAAACGAAAACTTTACAGCGCGGGGGAAATGGAATATTTGTAATCCTGTGACAGTGTTGGAGAGTATCCTATATAATACAATGTGACAAACAAAAAATTACCGTAATTTTCGGACTATAAGGCGCACCTGAATATAAGCCGCAGCAGCTAAATTGAATGATGTGTACATATATAAGCCGCACTGGACTATAAGCCGCAGGTGTTTTAATGTTTAATTACCATATGTAAGGGTTCGTGCACAGAGGGGATTGTCGGGAAAGAGATGGCTGTTTGAGGAAGCTCCCATTTATTAACATTTCAACAAACAAGTTGCATATTTGCATAACGTATTCAAGTGTTACCATTTAGTGCAATAGTAGCTACAGAACATGTACTGTGTAAACTGTATGTATCACATAGCGTTTCAGACACACAAACTTTTCAACTTTCAAACTTAAACGGTGCGCTCCCAGCGCACGTACCGGCAGTGATCTACAGCAGTGGTTTTCAACCAGTGGTACGGGGACAAACTTTCTCGCTCTTGTAATGTCTGTCTGTCTTGCTCTCGTTCTGTCTCTCGTACCACTCTCGGTTCCACTTTTACTTTTGCGCGCTACCTGTCTCACTCTTTTCCGTTCTCCAGCTTTTCCTGCTGGAGCCCGCCGCTTAAAGGTGGGGGGCGCGGACCGGCCATAGAGCCCATAGAGTTAAAGGTGGTGGACTGTAACCTGTAAAATCCATAGATTTAGGAGGTCCCCTAGTGGCCGTTAGCTGTAAAAATCCATAGATTAGCCGCACCGTTATATAAGCCGCAGGGTCAAAAGAATTGGGAAAAAGGCGCGGCTTATAGTCCGAAAATTACGGTAACTATTGAATATTGTTTGCTAGATTATTATTTTTAAATCCATGGTGAACTCATATAAAAGATAATTAACATTTACTCAGCTCTGCGCAACAGTTGACGCTTTCATATTAAAGTGCTTTTTTAATCTACTTTGAAGAAAAATGCTCTATGAAGCGACTGTAGCTGTCAAATTCATATTTCCTGGCATGAACATGCAAAGGGTTACGCTATGTTGATGCTTTCATCATGCGGAAGTGGGCTTGGTTAAATCACAACTGGGTTGGAGACAGTTGTCCAGCTTCTGGAATAGCTTTCTGACTCATGGTGAACTGAACAGATTCACTGTCCAAAAAAAATCCACCTGAAGCTATCTATGGGATATTGGATGTGTGTGTGATGTCTCACCCCGCTGTTGCTGTTCTCTCGTCCGCTCATGCTCTGCAAAACGGCCTTATCGAGCCCCAGCTTCAGACTGGCCTTGTCGAACATCTCCCTCTCGTAGCTGTTCCTGGTGATCAGCCGGTAGATCTTCACCGCCTTGGACTGGCCAATACGATGACACCTGGCCTGGGCCTGGAAGAGGACGCAGTCAGATAAATGACTTGCAGAAGAGGACTAATGATATGGTCCAGTGAAGCAGAATCAGTCACGTGCAAAGGAGGTTAGAGGGGCAGGGTCCAACTGAATAAAAGGGCAAGCTGGCGATTTGTGTTACTTTTAAATAAAAATATGTCCAAGATAACTACTTTTGTGACAGTTTTAAGGGATATTACACAGGGTTCATACACTTTTTCACCAATGATTTTTAATGACTTTTCCATGACTTCTCCATGACCTTTACCTAATTTTCCATGACCAAAACAAATTACTCTTTCTCAGTGGTACCACTGAAAATGGTTTATTTTAACATGGAACAGGAAAATAAGGTCTGCATATGAAACATGTTGTGCCCATCTAAAACAAATCCAATAGTAGGCTTACTAGCTTCTACACGCTAAAGCAACTAAAATCTCTCACCAGCAAAATACCTCAACAGTTAAATTCCATTTTACGTTTCATTACTATACAGTATTTATTATCATTATAGTATTACTATTTCGGCGATTAGATAAAATATAAATTATATTTGATGCAACTTTAGTTACATTTCCATGACTTTTCCAAAAGTCCATTCTGGTAAATTCTCCTCACATGTTGACAAGCCAAACTCTAACCACCTTCTCCATAAAGGCATCAGGCAAAATGCTTCAGTAATGACTGACAGATGCTGATATTGTACGGCTCATAGTCCTACTACGTGTGCTTCTACTATGTGTGCTTCTACAGGTGCTCGAGCCCACTTTGAGGTCCATCTGTGCACGTGTCTGAGCAGAGCTAAATGTGGGAGTTAGGATTGTACCTGCAGGTCGTTCTGAGGGTTCCAGTCAGAGTCAAATATGATGCAGGTGTCGGCTGCCGTCAGGTTGATGCCTAAGCCCCCGGCCCTCGTGCACAGAAGGAACACGAAGCGGTCCGAGTCAGGTTTGGAGAAGCGGTCGATGGCAGCCTGACGTAGGTTACCACGCACTCTGCCGTCTATACGCTCATAAGGATATCTGCACGGGAGGAGAGGTATTTTAGTGACATCATGACAGAAAAGTCAACACTATGAGAGCGATGTCCCAAAACTTCTCTATGGCTTATCAAATGGAGTCACATTCCCCCAGATACACTATATCATATCAAACAAATTCATCAAGACTATGAAGTGCAACTTATAATGACTTATATTAACCATCTGAGACCCACATAGGACTTTTCCGTTTTTGTATAGTAGTTTTGCCTTATAAATTGTCATTTCTTTAAAGTATAATCAAGTTTTACACATCCCAGAAATCAGCACAACCTCAGCTAATGATATATGTCACTCATTAGAGACTTATATACACACTATAATGGGGGATATTTGCCCATAAATAAAAATGGAGCTTGAACTTTTTATTTATTTGATTAAAAATAACTGCTAACCATAACATTAAAAGAAACATTCAACATGGAACATTGCACACATTTATTATCATTGTATCAGAACTGATTAGAAGATCCTAACTTATTCTGTTCATTAGTTATGCCCATTCTTTTGGGCAATGGCCATGGGCGTTTTTTTTGCCAGGAATTGTCATTTTTTTGTCCTTGCCATACCTTAGTCTACTTTTAAGACACTAAAATAACGTATATAACGTAATAACTTTTATTTTGTTTTCGCGCGTGGAATCATACTGGCTCTCGTTTCAGTACACATAACTACGGAACTGACAGGCAACCCTCTGAATCAGACTCCGATTGGCTGACTGCATCCACTCAGAGTGTCACTCTTTACGTCACAAACAAAGATGGTGGTTGAGAATAGATCTATAAAACAGAAAACGATAAGCAATGCGCCAGAATCAAGGTGAGACTATCTGCATCTTTTAAAACTTTACGCACATTCGTTTCACCAAAACAAGTAAACGCCTCAATGAAAAACTGAATAGTTGTTTATTGCCGTTTCTGTAGTTTAAGACAGTGGTTCTCAAATGGGGGTATGCGGACCCCTAGGGGTACGTTGGATTACTGCAGGGGGTACGTGAGATTTATTTTATATTAATGGAAAAAAAACACATAATTAATGCATTTAAACCAACTACTAATAGTAGATTAACTACTTTATTCAAAAGTTTACAGTAATTCTGGATAATAAAATGGGAAAAATAAACGGGGTGCTCTCTTTTCCTCTCCCTCTCCTGACAGCCCGTCCCTCTCGTTTCGCTCGCTGAACCTGTAATAAGTGACCCAACAGTAAAGAATACATATATTTATAACTAGTTTAGCTAGTTCCAGAGTACCGTAATTTTTGGACTATAAGCCGCGCCTTTTTTCCCATTTTTCGACGCTGCGGCTTATATAACAGTGCGGCTAATCTATGGATTTTTACAGCTAACGGCCACTAGGGGACCTCCTAAATCTATGGATTTTACAGGTTACAGTCCACCACCTTTAACTCTATGGGCTCTATGGCCACGTAGCGCCTAAAACTGGGGGATATATTTGTAATACTTATTACGACGCGATGGGATGAAACGCGGTGTGCGGGCAACCGTTCGTTGCGAATAACAAATCCAGGAAACCTATTCGTCCGTCAGTACTGGTAATCGATCTGATCTTATCTAGACTATCTAAAAGCTGTAACTGGGCTCTCACCTTCAGATTGGCCGTCGCGTCTCTTTCCCTTAGTCTCTAGTCTAGTCGACGGACGACTTGCCTCTGTGCGTCGAGACGGTACTAGGTCGAGATGCGACACTGCTGGCAACTCGCTCGTTTTAGTGTCTCAATCTGATTGTGTGAATCGAATCAAATAGATGGCATTTATAAGCCTGATGATTCCGCCTGGACTTTAGTATTGCGCGGTCGTTCGATTAACTGTACTACACATGTATATATTCGGCTGACCTATATTCTGCGGTCCACAAAATCGTAATGGTAGTACATTCCCCAAGCACGTGTCTCGCCGTAACAGTCCTTTCTCTAACCGACAAAACTCCTTCGATAGGGGTAAATAATTGTAAAGTTGTTGTTCAACGTATGAAACGTATTGCATAAGTTCACAATGGTAGAATCGACGTTATCATCGAATGCTTGGTAGATGACACGACACATTTGACACTGACCATAGTGTATCGCAAAAGTCTGGTGTTGAAAATGAAAGTTGAATTTGCCACCGCGAGCGGTCGCGTGCTATGCCGTCACTAGATGTCGTCACATTGCGCCTGTGTTGACATAGCGAGAGCATTAGCAGGGGGACAGACAGAACGAAGAGCAAGACAGAGAGCGATGGTGAGAGCCAAGGTAAAATGAAAACGCGCGATTGGACGGCGCCGTGATGCGAGGAGTGAGAAAAGGGCCGAAAGGTCGAAAAGGCGACGACCTTGGGCGGGCGAATTTCCA